TCAGTTGCCTGTATGCTGCCAAATCTGTTGACGATTGCAGCCTCATCTCCCGTCTAACAGCCATGGGATTAAGAGTGTGATCGGAGAGTTTTTGTGTTCTTCTGCGGTGGGTCTTGCAGAACTTAGCTCCGACCGCATGGACAGTTTCCACGAGCTTGTCATTCATATCGTCCACATATGCATCGTCCGAATTGCAATCTTCTAGGCACTGGAAGTGGTTACGTAACTCGAGCTGAAAGGTTTCGGGATTCTGGATTAGATCACGAGCAGTGGCAAAGCTAGAGCTCCAAGCTAGGGCAAGCCCAAGATATAAATTGATAAAAATATAGATTGTTGTTTTTAGCAGTTTTATAAAAATACACCAATCTTGATCTGTCCCCACGCATCAGTTTCATATTCAGGGTTTGTTTAAGCGAAAGAAAAAAAATATTTACATCCAATGCAATACATGAACAAAAGTAAAACACGAACAAAGTACAAACAAACTACGTACAAAATTAAAAAAAAATTATTTACATTCTAATGGATAAGAGATAAGATAAGATAAGTGGAATCGTCTCGCTTTCTTATGGAAAGATTTAATTACGTCCACGTAAAATGTTGGTGAACGTTTTATTTGTACCAATAACTGTTTTAATTGCGATAATTGATAAGTCTGAAATACACTCTTAACCTTGTGTATTATCTCAACAAAGTTTAAAGATTTCCTCTCCGATTATCACTTTAATTCACACACTTCAATTCATCACAAGGAACACTATTATCCTCCATTTTCATTAAAAATCTTTAAAAAAGCATAAATTTTGAACTCGTAATATTAAATCGCTTAAGATAAGCACACGGAGCAAATAAACATTAAAACGTGAAATGAACTTGCAAGCGCATTGCCCGCGCGCCTCCGCTTTTAACAAATTCATTCCCAAAAGCCTGGCTTTAAATCTTTATACTAATTGCTATATATACAATCGTAGTTATATTTCATTATAGAATATTTTGCCATAGGTTAGAAAGAGAGCGATCGTCTTCTCGAAAGCCCCGTAAAAAGCCCACGCGAGCGAGGGAGACAACTATTAGCTCTATTAAAACTCATTTTTTATGACAGCAGCAGTATCACTAAGGCAATACGAGGTCATCGGTCGACATGTGTCGAACAGTGGAGTGCGCGGGAAATTTGAAATAGCTTGAAACATTTTACGAGTTATTTTATTAGTTGATATTATTGATTGATTCAGGTTTAATAAGGCAAGCCCGGCTTTTCGGCTTTAATGGAAGCTTCGCCACTGAGCACGAGGGGGACAGAGCGTAATGACTTCATTAGACGAGACCTCCCCAACTTAACGTTTAGGTTCAGTGTGCCTCTAACCATTCGGTGATCGCTGCCAGTTTTCACTGAGACATCACTGAACAATTGGCGTCTGGTCGTCATAATGAAGTCAATCTCGTTTTTTGTTGAACCGTCGGGGCTCGACCAGATCCATTTTCTGTGGGGCCGCTTCTGGAAGAAAGAGTTCATCATAAAAAGTCCCTCTTTCTCCATGAAGTCGGCCAGCTGCTGGCCCCTTGGAGACCGTTTCCCTATCCCAAATTTCCCTACCTTCAGCTCACCGTTCTTTCTTGTGCCCAGTTTTGCGTTGAAGTTTCCTATTAACACCGTATAGTGAGTTTTGGAGGAATGCATGGCTCTAGAAATGTCCTCATACATTTCCACCAACTCCTCATCGGGATGTTCCGACATTGGCGCGTAAACCTGTATGACCTTCAGCGAATACCGTTTGGTGATTCTGAGTGTAAGGTACGCAACCTTCGTCGACACACTCCCATTCTTCAAAACGTTGTTAACGAGAGACTTGTGGACGATAAATCCAACACCTCCTTGGAACAGTTGGTTGCTCTCCCGGTGATAGAACAAGTTGCCGGATTCGAGAATCACCATGTCCTCCTCCTCTCTTCGGACCTCGGATAATCCTATAATATTCCAGGGCAACTTGTCTATCTCTTCTTCCAGCTCCAGGATCTTCTCGTCAATCTTCAGAGTGCGTGCGTTAAATGTTGCCAGGTCGAGTCGCCGTAGGTGGCAACCGAACCTCCACCGGAGATTCTTAGCACCCCCTGCCCCGCCGTTACCATGGTCGCCACCGTAGCCAGGAATAGCGGGGTCGCCGGGGACTGGGGGCCGTCTATTTGTATAATTCTTCATGGGGGTATATTGCCATAGTTGCCACGCTTGGCGAGCGGGTTGGCAACCGCAGTTTTTTTTGTACAGTTGCTGTTACCAGGAAGATGCTGCTGCCCATCTCCTGCCTTTTTCCCTCTGTCGCCTTTTACGACACCCACGGGAAGATATGTGGTAGTGGATATTCTTAACCGCCACTACACGCCATTATCTATCGCCATAAACAAAATACAGAAAAATATTTAAAAACGTGGTGATTTTGGTAGAAATTTCGACCATCCATCGACGGATTGTTGCTCCTGTTTTGTCGTTTAAATAATAGCTTTT